TAGCAGCGCACTCGCGGGCTAAATTGTAAGTTATGCATATGAGGGCTCAGTGTACCTAAATATATGCGAGGAATGAATGGGAGTTTTGCATGTCAAAGGAGAAGTGCTGAGAAAGTTTTTACAATGGAGACTAATTGGAGGTGTTAATGTTATTCTTAGTTAATTTGAAAGTCAGATGCAAATGTTTAACACCACTTTGCAAGGAGATGCATATTTAAATCAGAGCTGGCATGTGTGAGTTAACGGTTTGCAAACTCCATTGCTGGGGGGGGGGGGGGATGCGAGCAACGACAGAAAAGTCTTCATACTTTTGTTCCCTGGCTCTTTTTTTTTCATATCTCAGTAAAAGCTTTTGGGCCAAATAATTTCTCTTTCTTTCTCGAACACAGCTAGAAATTTGTTAACACAATATTGTAAAAGCAGCTACTAACTGAACTCTCCAGACAGGGTGGGATAGACTATGCGACACAGCTCTCACAAAGAAACTAACAAAGACGCACAAAGACCAAAGACAATTTTGAAACTGTATGGTACATGTTTATTCAACACGCTGGAAAAGACAATGTTGTCCCCTTGCCACCAGCTACCCCCCCCCCCCAGCTCACTCTGAGACAATTCATTAAGGCAGGGAGTAGAAGACACTGAACTGATACAATAAACTCTGAAGTATTCTACAGGCCTGCTTAATGGTTGAGTGTATCATTTATGTTATATATATGCATGGGCTGTTTCTTGGGGGGTGAGGGTATATTGTTTGCCTTATGTATTTTCATAAACTGAAAAATAAAGTTGAGCGAAAGAAAGCAAAGCTTTTGGTATCAAATGGGGTGGTTGTTTCCATTGTGTCGTCTGCCCTTTTGCAATCTCGTTCTCCCTCTCTCTTTATCATCCCCCCTGAGGGGGGGGCGGAGGGTTTTCTAACAATATCCAAGGGCAGGCAGTTCCGGAATAACATTGAGCGCTTCATCTCCTAACCATTGTTGGAGTTGTAATTGAGCCGCTTTCAATTCATGGGTGCATAATTTTCATGTTTGCCCAACATCCTGAGTTCTATTTTGTTCCTATCTGACTCATGCTTATATGAAAGGAAATTGTTTTCACTCTGTATCCTTCCCCCCCTCTCTCCCCCCACTGACATGTTATAAAAATGTAATAAAAATCAAATAACAGGAAAGAAAACCCTTCTTTTCTCTGTGTAACAGCTGCAGCAGCTGACAAAAAGCAAACACCTGAGCTATATATCCCGCTCGCTTGTCAGGTGACCTCATTGCGAAAAAAACAGGAAAGGTCCGGGCTTCTATGTTTGTTTTATAAAATGTTGTTTGCCCCGGCTGGCTCTAGTGGGATTTAGGGACCCAACTCTGCGACAGGAAACTCGGGAAAGTAGTCGACATTGTCTGATGCTTTTGTTTTTCTTTTTGAGTTCACGAGGTTCATTTCCACTATGCTGTTTTTCTATCAACATGTTTTCGAGCCAGATTGGAATGCAGCGCCTTAAAATAAGCTGCTCTCTTCAGAGTGGGGAGAGATTTTTGTTCTATCCTGTTATTTTACACACAGACAGACAAACAGAGACACACACACACACGCCAGGTGACCTAAGGTAAAGGCATTGACACGTGTGAGAGGAACTGGAAGACTTTGCCTCAGTTCTTCTGGAAACGAGCCAACTATATCCAAACCATTAAAAGCACAGGCAGACTGTCTAGAGTGGTGATCAAAGTAGACCAAATATCACTCTGGCACTTGAGAAATTTGAGATGATATTCTCATCTGAGCTTGGGAGAATCCATGCCAATTTCTGTTTTTGTAATAACCTTCCTTTTTAGCACACACACACAGCAGTCACTTAGGTGATTGGGGCCTTAGCTAAAGTTGCAGTAAATCATTTCCCAGGCCTCACAGACAGAATTTCAGGGTTGCATCTAAATTTGTCGAGGAAGCTTGGTCATCATCAGCGCAGGCCTTGGGGACTCTCCGGAGACTCGCAAATAATGTAAGCCCCCAAACAATACCCACAGGAGATGGTGGGCTGGAAGGGAATGGGAAGTTCCGTCATAACTGTAATACCAAATGAGGATTGCAGGCAGGGCTGTAAATGGAAGGAAACATCTGCCACTGATGCAGAACAGAGACTGAAATATGAAGTGGCTGAAATATGGAGGAATAACACTGGCTCCAGTGGAGGCTGTTATATTTGAGTAAAGCGGGGCATTCTCCCCAAACATGTTTGCCCTCAGCCTGCCCATACCTGCTTGCCAATCGCAACAATATAAACACAACACGTAGGCTAATAGTTGGTACAGAATATATATATAATAATAGAATATATATATAATAATAGAATAATGGTATCATTCAAATTATAGGAGTAAGCCTATCAAAGTTCATATGTACAATGTAACAGAGTGGTAGCAAGGACCATCAAGCTGTGTGCTCAAAGCAGATGTCTAAGGACTGTCTTACAATAGTCTTTCAAAAGTTTCAGTGGAAGACATCTCCAAAGCCTCAAAAGGACAGTGTCTCCGGAATGATGCTACTGTTTCGTAATATTCTTCATCAACCGATATTTTTCAACAGAATATGTAAGTAAGATCCATGCTAAGGATCAGTGCTCACTAGGCTATTGTGAGACCGTATTGTTGTGATTGGTTCTTATTGCAACACAGGGGTTTGTTTTTGGTTCATTGTCATACCTGCTTGCTAGCATTTTCCTCCTGCAGGGTTGCCATGTGTCCTCTTTTTCCAGGACATGTCCTCTTTTTCAGAGGTAAAATTTCTGTCCGGGTGGACATGACTGATGGTTGAAGACTTGCTTTCCTCTCCTCTCCTCCTGCCTTCCTTAGCAATATATCATAGCTTCTGTAGCCTATATAAAGTAGTACAGTGGTACTCGGGTTAAGAACTTAATTCGTTCTGGAGGTCTGTTCTTAACCTGAAACTGTTCTTAACCTGAGGTACCACTTTAGCTAATGGGGCCTCCTGCTGCCGCCGCATGATTTCTGTTCTCATCCTGAAGCAAAGTTCTTAACCCCAGGTACTATTTCTGGGTTAGTGGAGTCTATAACCTGAAGCGTATGTGTCAGGGGTTCAGAGAGAGAGGCACAGGGTAGGCAGGAGATGGAGAGCGAAGGGGAGGAATTCCAAGCCAGCGAGGAAGAGGACGACAATGACTCAAGGGATTCCATGAGTCTTTCCAGCAAATCAGAGGATTCCCAGACGGGGGCGCCGGTGGTCCGGGCCAGGGGAGCCCCAGGGGGGAAATGTCAGGAGCAGGGTGCCAGCGGAGGATCCCAAAGTGGCAGCTGGGCGTCAGGACCAGCCTCCCCACCAAAGTGCAGCGAAGGGGGTGGAGTTTCCAGTGTGTCAGAGGAAGCAGCTCCAGCAGCAGCAGAGAAAGGAGGGGGGTCAGAGCAAGCAGCCCTCCCGGAAGGGGAGGGGAGCAGTGAAGGGAGCAGTGTAACTGTCAAAAGGAAAGTTAGAGGGTTGGCGCGCGCGCCTAGTTCAAATGTAGAGGCGCGCGGAAGTGCAGGGAGCCCGGAGGAGGGGCCAGGTCCCAAAGCCCGCAGGAGGTGGAGCAGCAGTCTGATTCCGCGTCAGAGGAATCCAGAAGGGGCAAACCCCAGGGGGCAGAAAGACCCTGCGGAAAAGGAAGGAGAGAAAGAGGTGGAGCAGCGCAAGTCTCTTAAATTGGTGCAGAGGAGGGACTGACTCAGACGGGACTTCGGCGGTCTAGCGTAAGAGACGTAAGGCTGCGCGCCTAAGATGTCAAGCAAACCATGAACTGCAATAAACACCTTTGTATTCAAGAAGACGTAGGCGTTGGTCTTTTGTGAGCTAAGACTTGAGGCAGCCTTGACAGTAAGTCCCGTCTCACAAGCAAAAAAACCGCAAAAATTTTTTTTTGCACAGCTCACGAAGTTTGGCAGCAATGACTACTGAGGAGCAAATAGCGTCCCTGCAAAACGCAGTCACCGAGCTCTCCACTGCCGTCGTGGTTTCTCAGAAGACAGTTGCAGAAGCAGAAGCGCGATGCCAGGATCTGCAAGCCAGGTGGGATCGGGCGTGCAGAGAGGGGTTCCCGGGGTCCAGATCAGAGGGAATCGGACTGGGACGAAGGGGGGGCAATTTAGTAGCCCACTTCGATGGGAACCTGAAGCATTATCCCAATTTCAGAGCAGACGTCGTATATGCACTGCATTTACTTCGAAGGGACTTCAAAGATGAGGAGGAAAAAGTGGGGTTCATTGTGTCGCACCTGCATGGGGAGGCAAGGAATTGGTTACGCAATTTATGGCGCGAAGATGGTCTTGCACGCAGGGACTCTGATGAATTTCTCAAAGCCATGGACGCTTGCTTCCAATCTACTGTTGACGTTGATGTGGCACGTCAGGAGATGCATGGATTGCGGCAGGGCAAGGCTACAGTGCGTCAGTACCATTCTCGCTTTTTTGCATTGCTGAATGTGCTGGGCTGGGAAAAGGACTCCCTGGCAGTAAGGGACTTGTTTTGGGAAGGGCTACACGGCTCAGTGAAAGATGAGCTGGCTAGGGGAGACAGACCTCAAACCCTAGCAGACGTCGTGCAGAGGGCACTCACGATAGGGGTGCGCCAAGAAGACCGCCCTTGGCACAGGGAGGAGGGGCGTCACGTCCGCCCACCAGCTAGAGCGCCTCCTTTTCCTTCTAGGGACTTGGAACGTTCACGCCTTCGCCTGTCCTGGCAGAGGGGAAGAACAGATGGAACTGGGTGGTGCAAAGGCTCAGACAGCTGCCGGAGCCTCAGCGTCAGGAGCAGTCAAGCGAAGCCTCCTAGAGGGACCAGGAAGTGTTACATCTGTGACAGTGCACGGCACATGGCTAAAGAGTGTCCCCAGAGGCTCCAGAAGCACACTGCAGCCTTAGCAACAGTAACAGGGAAGCTTTCCAAGGGGAGCAGTTTCAGGGAAACGAGAATGCCTGGTTGGAGGGAGAGACGCTGGGGCTCCACCAGGCACGTCAATGAAGCAGTCCCCAGCGCTTTTGCAGCCTACAGACCCCTTACCACCTAAGCCAGTGGTGCAGCTCACTGCTACTCTCCAGCTGCCTAATGGACTCACCCTGGAAGTCCCCATTACGATTGACTCAGGGAGCAACGCAGACTTCGTGGGGGTGCAGTTCGTCAAGCAGCATCGCATAGCGCTACTACCAGCCACGCTGCCTCTGAATGTGGTCACTGTAGATGGCAGGAAGTTGCTGGGTGGGCAAGTGGTACAACAGACGCCATCCATGCTGCTGAAAATTGGGAATCATCGCGAGGTCATCAGTTTCAATGTCACCCAACTGTCAGACACGCCCATAGTGCTAGGCATGAGTTGGCTGGATAGACACAGTCCATCCTTGGCGTGGTACCAGCGGCAGCTCACCTTTGGCTCGTCCTACTGTGCACAACATTGCATCCAGATTGGTGAGGACGAGGAGGGCCGGGAGGAAGGGCAACAGCTGCATCTAGGCATGGTGCAGGCAGTGCCCCACAAGTACAAGGGATTTTTGGAGGTCTTCTGCGAGAAGGAAGCTGACCAATTACCACCCCACAGGCCCTACGACTGTGCAATTGACCTCTTACCAGGGGCAACGCTGCCGACTGCGAAGCTGTATTCCATGTCTGAAGATGAGATGCAGGAGCTCAGGGAGTTCATAGATCACAATTTGAAGCGGGGATTCATCCGAGAATCCAAGGCAGTGGGGGGCAGTCCTGTGTTTTTTGTGAAGAAGAAGGACACAAACAGCTAGGGCCATACCAAGTTGAGGGCAGGGTCAATCCCGTAGCTTTTCGGTTGACCCTCCCAGAGGATTCCCGAATGCACCCGGTCTTTCATAGGTCGGTGCTTACACCCTACAAGGCCCCACACAGATTTCAGGAGCCAGGGACGGCACCAGACCCGCGTAGGGAAGTCACCAGGGGGAAGTCACCGAGGACCCCGACACTCAACGAGGTCACGGAAATTCTGGACTCGAGATGGGGGAGGAGGGAGTGGAATACCTCCTCGCCAAGGAAGGTACCCCGGCTAGCGCCAACAGTTGGGTGCCAGATTATGCTCTGGAGGAATCTTGGCTTAAGGACGAGTTCCATGCACTCTTCCCGCACAGGCCCATGCCAGAGGAGTATTTTGACGACTGGCTTTTTACCCCCACACTTTCAGGCAGCACCTTCAGGGGGGTCTCCTCTGCGGAGGAGCCCACGCCGCATCGAGCCCTCCAAGGGATCGGGCTCGGGGTGGACACGGACCGCTCTTATTGGTGGGACGATCAACCAGAAGTGGGGTGGCGAAGGGGGCCTTGGCAAGCAGCTTCGCCTGAAGTAACAGGGGAGGGAAGGGTTTGGAGGTGTTGGGGGAGGACCCTGGTTCGAGCACTCCTACACTGAACTGGAAGCAGAGGAGATCGACGGCGACGAACTGTATCCAGCATCTACCCCCGCTACAACGAGGCTCCCGGAACCTGCGCCCGAGCAGCGGGAGGGGGAAGGGGGCTTCGAGGGGGATGGATGTCAGGGGTTCAGAGAGAGAGGCACAGGGTAGGCAGGAGATGGAGAGCGAAGGGGAGGAATTCCAAGCCAGCGAGGAAGAGGACGACAATGACTCAAGGGATTCCATGAGTCTTTCCAGCGAATCAGAGGATTCCCAGAAGGGGGCGCCGGTGGTCAGGGCCAGGAGCCCCAGGGGGGAAATGTCAGGAGCAGGGTGCCAGCGGAGGATCCCAAAGTGGCAGCTGGGCGTCAGGACCAGCCTCCCCACCAAAGTGCAGCGAAGGGGGTGGAGTTTCCAGTGTGTCAGAGGAAGGAGCTCCAGCAGCAGAGAGAGGAGGGGGGTCAGAGCAAGCAGCCCTCCCGGAAGGGGAGGGGGCAGTGAAGGGAGCAGTGTAACTGTCAAAAGGAAAGTTAGAGGTTTGGCGCGCGCGCCTAGTTCAAATGTAGAGGCGCGCGGAAGTGCAGGGAGCCCGGAGGAGGGGCCAGGTCCCAAAGCCCGCAGGAGGGGGAGCAGCAGTCTGATTCCGCGTCAGAGGAATCCAGAAGGGGCAAACCCCAGGGGGCAGAAAGACCCTGCGGAAAAGGAAGGAGAGAAAGAGGTGGAGCAGCGCAAGTCTCTTAAATTGGTGCAGAGGAGGGACTGACTCAGACGGGACTTCGGCGGTCTAGCGTAAGAGACGTAAGGCTGCGCGCCTAAGATGTCAAGCAAACCATGAACTGCAATAAACACCTTTGTATTCAAGAAGACGTAGGCGTTGGTCTTTGTGAGCTAAGACTTGAGGCAGCCTTGACAGTATGTAACCTGAAGCATATATTCTATAGTGTTAGAATATTCCACTCCACCTTAAAAGGAACAGGCATGATTGTTGTGTGTCACGTGCTTGTCTTCTGCACTCATCTCTTAGGAGAACAGTGGCCAACAGTGGTTCTTCCAGTTAAGTATCAGACCCATCAGATGGTCTGAGTGAGGTTTTTGCGCTCTTGTAGTCTGCCGTGTCATCGCTGTCACTGACATCAGCAGCAGCACCGCCCACTGAGCTGGAATCCGAACTCTGATCATCATCCTCAGCTTCCTCTGCTACCTCAACATCCTCTACTTCTGAGTGACTCTGGAAAATTCCCACATTCCCCCCCCCCACTTAGGATTGTACTCAACATTCTTTGTTTCCCATATGGTCTTAGAGTCAGTCATGAGTACCCTGTATGCTCCCTTTTCGCACCCCATGAACAAACCATGTGCCCCACGCTTTCCAAGCTTGCTCCTCTGTGGGCCCACATGTCATAACCAAAGATTCTCATGTGCTTGACGTAAGTGTTAAGTTGTGGGTGAACATATCAGACGACACAGCGATTCTTCAAACAGCTCTTGTTTATTCAGAGGCCAGAACAGAACTGAACTGAAGAGCTCAGTCAGCCTGCTTATATAGAGCTCCAGTACAACGTTACTGTAGCAACTTTCTAAAACTATCCAATCACTGAACGTCACTTTCGATCCTTCATCTGCATAACTATCTACAGTATCCCCCTGCTGGCCCAGGGTGAGAACTTCAGTACATAACAGTAAGGTTTCTTACCAAACATCTTCTCATACGGAGTACAACCAATAGGTGAAGACAGCCTCCTATTATAAGTGTAAACAAAAACGAGAGAGCGATTCAGCCCAATATTGCTCCTCTTTTTTGCTCTTCAAAATATGGCAGTCTTACATCTCGGTGCTCGCTCCCAGTGTTGCCCTTGTAGAAACCAGTGGGGGGAAATATGGGGACAGAGCTAGTATGAACTGGCTCTGCCTATCATTGGCCCTGTATCCACCTCTGCCTTCCTCCCAATCCAACCCAATGGGCACCAATGTATTAATATCATGGCAGCCCCCCTGAGACAAAAGCCATGTGCACCAGCTCCTCCCCACAAAACGTGTTCTCCCTAGCAGAGAGCACGTGTTGTGGTGGGGGATACAAGCCACCCCAGTGTTGCTGGGCGGATGTGTGGAGAGACCCAGGCAGTGAATTGGTTAATTGGGTCACTGGGGAGAATTGCTTGTTGCCAATTTTGAAGGAGGGGTCAGAGGTTTTAAATACTGGTTGCCCAACTTTGGGCGTCCTCTTGGCTGCTTGCACCGGATCACCTGCCCACCCTCCCTGTATTGGGGGGGTTGTTTGCTTGACCTTGCTATGTCTGTCATGGGGTCGTCTGCTTTGAGGCAGGAGCCTGGTAGGAATTTTGTCCATTTGGCTGATTGGCTGGTGCCATTTGGTTTTGCCTACTGCATAGCAGGGACGCGGGTGGCGCTGTGGGTAAAACCTCAGCGCCTAGGACTTGCCAATCGTCAGGTCGGCGGTTCGAATCCCCGCGGCGGGGTGCGCTCCCGTTGCTCGGTCCCACTGCCTGCCAACCTAGCAGTTCGAAAGCACCCCTGGGTGCAAGTAGATAAATAGGGACCGCTTACTAGCGGGAAGGTAAACGGCGTTTCCGTGTGCTGCGCTGGCTCGCCAGATGCAGCTTGTCACGCTGGCCACGTGACCCGGAAGTATCTCCGGACAGCGCTGGCCCCCGGCCTCTTAAGTGAGATGGGCGCACAACCCTAGAGTCGGACACGACTGGCCCGTACGGGCAGGGGTACCTTTACCTTTACCTTACTGCATAGCAAATCGTCACAACTTGTAAGGTTGGCGGTTAGGCATTGGTTCAAATTGGTTGGTGGAGGGGTAAGTGCCTACCCCTCCAATGGTGGTGTGGAAAGGGAATTCCGTTAAAGGAATCCAGGGGCTTGCCATCCTTTTCATCCTTGTCCCTGGCATCGGACTTGGGCCGTGCAAGCCACCAGGAACATGAGGGTGAGAAGTGAGGGACTGAGGCCCAGCTTCATTTTCTCCCCAAAATTGTTTCCCTCACTGGCTTCCGCTGGAATCCGGAAGTCAGTTCTGTCCCTGGGCAAGGACAGATAGTTGGAACCAATGCCAAAGCAACCACTCACTTGTGTGTATTTAAATAAAGTTGTGGCCAAAATCTTGCCAAAAACCCCAACTGAAATTGTGTGATGTGTGAATTATTGGGGGGTGGCTTGGGGACCTCGACACGTAACTTCCCACTGGCTTCACTCTCTCTGTTCCTGACCTCCTTCTGTTGAGCAACTGAATACCAGCTGGTGGCAATCACAGGTAGGCAGAGCATTGTTGCATTCATGCCCTGCTTGCTTCAGTAGATCTAAGCTGATGACGGGACAGAGGCATGACAATTATAAACAGCATTTCCCTGTGGCAACACTGCTGGGAGAGAAAGCGGGATTTAATGGGAGTCTAGGAAAATTGAGACACCAGGGCTTAATGTTCTAAGAAGGCAGGCTGTTCTGGTTCAAGCGTGTGTCACTCGCATTCTTTAGCTCACTTTTCTCTGAGTCTAGACTTATTTAATTAGGCTAAACAATGCAAGCAGGAATGAAGTCTTGTTATCGGCATTCTGCACAGGAAGTAATACAGATTGTCTTTAAAATAAGAGCCTTCTGGGCCCACCAGATACTCAATAATGTAATTATTGTGAGAGGCACCATCCAAAGAAAGGCAAGGAGACAGCATTTCCTCTGGGATAAACAGACAGCATATTTTTAATGCTCGCATTATTGTTCCCTTCTTTTGCTATGTACATTCGATATGCAGGCCTAATTACACTGCCTGTCTCTTTCTCTCTCTTTTTGGCAGTGCCTACCCTCACAAGGAAATTCTCTGTTAATGCCATTCCTCAGAATATCGTTCCACCAAAGTTAAATTCTGGGAAGGGAAATGCAAGTTCCACAATTAGAATAATCACTGCAACTGGAAGGCATGTGGGGGCCTGAGATAAACAAACACATGGTACCCCTATATCCCAAGTCAAGGTGCACACTATCCATGACATTTTCTCACCTGACGAAAACCGTTCCTACAAGTGCCCCTCCCAGGAAGTAAAAAGAAAAAACCAAACAAAGCCACAGCTATGCCTTAAATAACACACAATTCGCTGCCTTTCATGAAACCCAAAATTAGCTGTCTGAGACCTAATGGTAGGCCCAGCTCTGAACGGAAAGCACTATAACATTTTTCATTGTTTATACTCCCTCCAACCAGGAAAAATATGGAGGGCTGATTGTATCACACACATATACAAAAATCATTATTGTTTTGTGTATCATTTCCCAGTAGTGATGTATGGAAGTGAGAGCTGGACCATAAAGAAGGCTGATCGCCGAAGAATTGATGCTTTTGAATTATGGTGCTGGAAGAGACTCTTGAGAGTCCCATGGACTGCAAGAAGAGCAAACCTATCCATTCCGAAGGAAATCAGCCCTGAGTGCTCACTGGAAGGACAGACCCTGAAGC